TTTTCCACTCGATAAAAGTTAACGTGAGGGTTCCTGATGGTTAGGGACAAATGCATGGCAGGATGCTGTAAACGGACCAAACTTCAGTCAGGAGAACAACTGAGATAATCCATCCACAATACGAGGTTAGTCATTAATGTATTGCTGCATGGGCTGGGCAGTAATTGCATCGTAAGGTTTTAAAAACTGAGCTTTAAAATGAATAGTGATAATAAAAACTGAGAGAGGCCGACAGTGATCACTGACTTTTTTAGGGGCTTGTTCAGATTAAATAGAAAAAGATACAAAGCATTAAGACACAACAGCCTTAATAAACACAGAGTAGTTTGGACCTGGAAGCAGGGTTCATATGTCATCACTTAAAGGCCGGATATCCCACGTGCTTTGATGTTTTAATGCAGTACAGTTGTTATTATATCACTTGTCGCATCCTGTTTATGACAGTTAAAATAAATAACATCCATATAAGAAATAAAATTGTCTTGTGTAAACTGTATATGGTGTTAAATAGGCCTATACTACTGTACTTTAATGTCGGGCATAAGGGTGGTACTTTAAGAACCATATACTTTATCCGCTGGTACTCATTGTGAAAAGTTTGAGAACCACTGACCTAAAGGATTAATTATTAGAATCTCGGCTTCAGATAGGGTGTCAACCATTATAACCTTGTTGGATAGATCAACAAATGAAGCTGGGGTCATTTAAAGATCTAACTAGGCCTGTTGTCTTATTGGTCCTCTTTCCCAAGATTGAAAGAACTTTCTAAAATCTTTTGAAAAAAGATTCTGAATTCTAATAAGGATTTTCTAAATATTATATAGTGAAAAATCATTTCACTAAAAACACAATAAAAATTGTATTGAAGAATCAGGAAAGTTACAGAATCAAGTGTTGTTTATTTTGTCTACTTTCCAGGTCCATACTACCGTAGCAAAGGGTGTCATGGTCCTGAGTCTGCCGACTCAGTGTTTTATGTTTCTTTATGCTTTTGTTCATTTATACGTATTCTGTTACGAATTGCCATTTGTTAGGTTTCTGTTCTGTGCTTGCCCTGGTTCCACTTCTGTGTTCTGTCTGTCTATGGTGTCACACTGTCTGTGTGTGAATCTGTCTGTTTAGTTCAGCGTCTTGTCC